TATATATATATATATATATATATATATATATATATATATATATATATATATATATATATTAGTGTGTATGCGTGTATGCGTATGTATACATGCCTATATACGTATATACGTGTGTGTATGTATATATATGTAAATATGAGCGTCTGTGAGTTTGGTAGCTCTACAGCTAAAATACAACCTATAGATATACAATAAAACATGTAAAAGATGTTTTTTAATTCGACTTTACAATAATAATTATTTTCGTCTGTCAGCATTTTCTCGTCGTTATTAATGACTGTCGTTAGCAATACATCTGATTTCTTACATTCTCATGAAGTTCAACACTGCAGAGCAACATATTCCAGGTGCACCGAAACAATGCAGTAATCGTATTCAGCAAGCTAGGTCAGTGGGTTATTCTGGTACTAATTCATAGCGAACAACAATATGTTCATATATAGAAAAAACAGTAACCTAACAGTTTTACAAAAAAGGGACATTCGCTCAGAAAATGCTAAAAAGAATGGCAGTGTCATATTTTCTAAATTTTGGACTGATTACCTTTTTAGCATCCAAGACTTATAATTATTTGGAAGAAATAAAATACACAAAAAGCATTTGGCTTTATTTGATTTAAAGTAACGATAAGGCGGTTTAGTCTGTGTGTGGAGATGAAGCCTAATTTGTTAAGTTGACAAACAAGCATTACCTATCCCGAGGGCACGAGCTGCTCCGAATAGCACGCCAAAATCTTGCATTTCTACAGATTTCAGACTGGACCGGACAACACGATGTAAACCATTTCTTCTATATTAAAATATGTTTTGCAAACTGATATTAAAACATTCCGACCGCACAAGCTTCACTATACAGCCACCACATCTGCGGATAATAATACGTTAAAATGTTTTTCGCAATTACATACTAGGCTATATAATTGTATTCATGTTGGTCACCGAGCGTACGTACATCTGCAAAAACTGAAAGCCATAATGATTATCTGGTATACAAATGGCTATAATACTGTGAGGCCGATTTCGATTAAATTTATATAGATATATCGCTCGATACCTTTATACACACAGTATTTCACTGGTTGATGGATATTTTGTGAAAATGTGATCGAGGCTTCAAAAGAAAACTCGTGTTTATGATGGAAATTCATAAAATAAGGAACAATATGTCGACATCAAATAGCCTAATATTTGGCTGTAGCCTACTATAATTTTTTTAGCATTCAATGATATGACTCAATGAAACGGTCATGTTTTATTTTAATTATTTTTATAATATAACATTAATACAGAATATACCAAAAATATGCATTCACATCGTACGCTTGATTACCATACCTTAACATTTCTAAAACAAAATACACAGGAGGCTAGTAAAAACCTTCAGTACTTTATAATAGCTATAACACTATGCTTAAAAGTTTCAAAATAGTGAAGATGGGTGTGGAAAAGAACAAATGTAAAATATAAATGTCGAAACCATAAAGTAAATAAATAAATACAAAACAATTTTTTATGAATTACCGACATATTATCCGGACCGACAACCAATGAAACTATTGGTGTGTGTTAAGATGGCGCCGCGGCAAACTTAAAAAAAGGAAAAAAAGAAAAAAAAAACTATCGTGAGGAGACAGGTGCATTTATCAACGGTTCAAGAACACGTTTATTATCTAATAGAAAGTTCCATAAGAGATGCTATTACCTGAAACTAAACGTCCTTATCAGTTATAGTCATATGCTCTGCATAACTTCAGACACCAGTAAACCAAAAAGAATTTTCGTTGCCCGGGGACACCCCCTCCCCCATCTACCCTCTCCATCTAAGACTCACCCGCCCGCCCTACAATTAGAGAATTATTGAGATGATAAAGCTCCCTCTGGACTCTCTCATTGGCTCGTGAGTTCCCCTTTCCCTCAAATCCTGATAAATCAATGGCAGCCAACGCACCCAGTCTCTTTTGTTGATGTTTTCTAATAGACCTTTCTCTCTCCAGGGATGACGTCAGTCGTATTCACCACCATTTCCCTCCCCTTATGATTTTTTTTTTGTTTAAAACTTTTTTGAGGGGGCACAAAGACCACTTTGCCCGAGGGAAAAAATAGCGACAAGATTAGGGTTTCTTTTCAAGGCCCAGCATTACTTGCTACTAATCCGAATTTGGCTAATTGATAGTCTGTAAAATCTCAATCGTAACCTGAAGATGTTGCTCGAGATATTCCACTAGATGGACTAAAAGGCAAAATTTTAACAATTTTTCTTCATTCTAATCGATTGAGTAGACAAGGTTACTTTGTCAACGGACGATCTGAAGTTTGTTTTTGAAAGAAAGACTTCATCTTAAAGAAACAAAAACAGCGGATTTACAGCTTTTCAAAGAAATTATCTTCTGGAGCTATTGGTTCCGAAAACTTGCGCGGCAGACCCCTCTGGGATCTCTCCCTCCAATCTCCAATGCAGTGAAGATCGAGGAACTGGGTTTGTACTAATACTATATTAACCTTAACTGGCGTGTGATTTATTAGTTACCTGTGCTTTTACCGTTTACAGTTACACACACACGCACACACACATACATACACGTGTGTGTGTATATATATATATATATATACACTAGACGTACTTGGCGTTCCTATGCCGTTATTCAGTTTTTAAATTGTTTTGCGCTCCTTTAACGAAATTGTCTAAAAAAAAAATCAGTGTGGCTGTGTGGAAACGGGGCTGATAATTTGGCCTGCAGTTATGCTTGCTTACGGCGTTAGTATTGTTGCATTCGGTGCTTGGATTCTCTTTCACAACAGGTTAGACGCATAATATTTTAGGTATCAGATACCATTCTGCAACAAAATATATGTTTCTGTCGGCTATGCATTTGTTAGACTCCAGAAATCAAGACACACGATAAAACCAAGAATATAAATCTCATTACTTAAGATTAACGGTCTAATATAAATATGTGCACGACAGCCTAAATACAAATAAATACTCACACGATGCAAGAAGAGAAATTCGAAAAGCACAAATTCCTTTAAAAAACTTTTGCCATTTAAGAGGAAAAAACACTGGCAATATCACTGTGAAATGACCTCCAAGAGCTGGACAATATTCAAAGTCAAATTTAGAGACAAGTTTTGGAGAATTTATTGTAATGATTCTCTCCTGGAGGTTCGCCGCTGTCTTTCCATTAAGATTACAACACGGACTTTCATGTGCCATGACTGCAGAATCCAGAAGGAAGAAAAAAATTGTCTCATCCCGAGCTTGTATTTATTCGACAAAGCAGTGTGAAAAATACGATTATAAGCCATCAGCATCAGGAAAATTGGCACTGTGATAACAAGTGAGAAAGGAAAAAAATCTGAAGAAGTTATTTGAAAATATGAGACGAAGTGGCAGCTTCACTGCAGGACTCAAGATGACAGTGCATGACGGTCCGGGCCGCTCATTATCCTGCTCCCATTGAGGCGTCCTTTCACTCAGAGGCAAACTCTTTGGCAGTGTCGTTTGTCTCCTCATTGTACTTTAGTTCGGAATGCAATGGTTGTCAGGACTCTTATTCACTTTCAAGATAGTTTATTGATGAGCTCTGACTTTTAGCACTTTTCACATGTCAAGAGAAGTCAAGTGTATGCATCCACGACTTCAATTTATGCTTTGCGCGTTCCGACACTGTTCCCCCCTTTCCTATACTCGCCCCCTCTCCCGCCCCCTGCGTTTCCCAGTTCTTCCGACCTGCTCTGCTCCATTGGAATAAATGATTGGAACACCCTGTGTTAAGACTGGTGCTCTGAGTGTAACCTCAAATGCAGGCGCTGAGGGGTTGCTTTGGAGTGTACTGAGGTGTGCGTTAATGGTCAGGCATTCAACAAATGTAATTCTGCTGTGTGGTCATAGCTGCAAAGTCATTAACTTGTTTTCCATGATGTTTTCTAGGCAGCTACAGAAGAGGTGCTGCTTCTTGGAAATGGTCAATTAAAATGTACAGAGCTTACTTTAAGCACTGGACGCGAACGATAACCGGCTATGCGTATTCAGTTGGTGAGAATGGTTAGCCAAAGCTTTAAATGTGATATTAAACAGAGTCAACAAAGGCACGTGGAGAAAGTTTGTGATTGTTTTAGTAAGTACACTCAAAGGCTATTTACAAGTGGACTTAATGCATAAAGTAAATAAAGGTTTTTCAGCTTACAATGGGGTGCTTTCTCCGGCCAATAGATTTACCACGGAGGTATCTCGCAGATCACTTACTGCTACTATTTTCAAATGACCCGGATCGCCATTTGCTTTGCATATTTATTCCTGATATTTATCGATGTATATTGTATATTTATATCAAATGTACATTTCACTTACATAATACTTTCGTATAAAATATTCCTCTGCTAAAAACAAACGTTATCTAAAACCAAAATTATAGCAATTTACATTGTACTGACTGAAAACCTGTGTCTTTGTTAGTAAAAAAAAGTGTTCGCAAAAAATATAAATATTCGAAGTTTAAGCATTTCTTATCATAAAAAAATGAACCGTAATTAATTGTAGATCGAAAACAGAAAATGTAGTTCGCAGCTCCAGCTTGACTTATGAGCACATGTGTTTGCACTCTTTCCAAGTACTTGAGATTTAGCTATAAAGCATTCTTGCCTTCCTACTACAGAGTCGCGGAGAGCTGCCGAACCGTCCAATAGGCAGCTTTGAGGCAACCCATTTGCTTTGCATAAGGCAATATTTAGTGTGTGAGAGACGTGAATTTGCATGTGTAGAGTGATTAGTGGGTTTGAAAGGGAAGCTTGGCTCAGCCCCGTTTCCCGCTCTGGCAAAGGCGCAGGAGGAAGTGTTTTGCTGGAAGATGATGACAGAGGTCAGGCTCTGCTAATGGGCCAGTGAAGAGCAGCGTAGGCGAGGCACGGACCAGGAACACATACATTAATGCACTCGTACCATCACCAATCAGCATAGGTGTGCTCTCTCTTTCTCTTCTCTCTCGATCCCTCCCTCCCCCCTCTCTCTCGCTCACTCACTCACTCACTCACTCACCCACACACTCGAGCGCACATTTTCAGTCTCTCCACAGTCCTGCCATCCCACTTTATTGTCAATCTCTGTCTCCTTCGCAGGGATTTCCATTTCTACAAAAGATCGCTGGAAAAACTATTTTACTTCGAACTCTTCAAAAGAAATCCTCCGGCATTTCGGCTTCGTCTCAGTCGCAGTGAAAGTTACTGACAGGGGCTTTGACAGCGGCGCAGGATGCCACAGAAAGGTGAGTTCAGACATCTTCTGCAAGTTTATTTTTATATTTCTAACGGTTTGTATATAACAAATGAAATGAAAGTGAATTACTGTCTAAAAGGTCCACGCACAGTCGCATATATATTCACCAAAATTTATTATGAACGTTCAAGGATGTAACCTAAAACAAAACGAACGTATTTGTAATGAATGAACTGGAAATTATGCATAACTACTTGGTGTAAACTATGTTTCATTCATCCAAGTAAATCTTTTAAAACTGCAGAAAACATTTATGTCGACTGCAATTAATCGTAGAAGCCGTAGGCTGGAGTTCGTGTTCGGAGGAGTTAAAGTGTGAAATTTGAATGGCTTTCTGGATGGCCTCCCTACTTATTTATATGCTTCCAAAGCGCCCATATCTCGGTGTTTTTGGACAGCTTAACGCTTATTTATGACAGGAAAGAGTAAAAAGTCACATTAGGCCAAGACAGTGATCTGTACAGAGAATGGAGATGCAATGACCCGATGAGGAAGTGTGTCAGGTTGAATCATGCAGGCATACGATCTCACCCGAGCATTTTCACAAAACACGGAGAACTTGTGCGCTCGTTTATGTCTTCATATGTGCCCAGGCAGAGCGTTAATGTTATCGTGCAGAAAAATCAACAAGTCTATGAGTTTTCTTTTAATTTAGTGGTACTAAACAAGGATGCCACATACATATTTAATTTAGTAAGAAATGTGAATTATTAAAGACAAACACACACACACACACACACACACACATATATATATATATATTAGAATTTTAAAATAGTTGGGTTCATTTTTAATATTTTAACATATGACATTTTGAGATGAAGAATAAATGTACGATATGTATTATAATGTGCATGCATTTTGGTAAAAAGGAAATTAAGTGCTATATGCTAAGTTCATTTAATTGGAACACAAATATTAAGATGGAAAGCATATAAGACTATTGAATTATATTGCGTTATACATATAGAATATATATTTAAATTTATTACTAAACAATTATTTAAAGAACATATCGCAATGATGGGTTAATTACATTTAAATGAAACCACGGTCAAACTACTAGGCCATTGCTAATTTTTTTCTACATATGAATGTTGTAAAAGCAGGACACGGAGGCCTGAATAAGCATGTTTAATTAAGGCGATTGTTAGGGATTTGAAAGGGGACAGAGATGCAAATTAGGCCTAACTTAACCTCATAATCTGAAGACGGTGTTTTCAACTTTAAATAAATCATTAACCGAAACATGTATAACAACGTCTTAGCAAAAAGAGAAGAAAAAATTCAACACGAACGAATCCCGGGACCAGGAGAGTCCGATAAATTCACTGAATAACAATAATAATTCACTGAAGGTTGTGGTTTCATCAAATTCTGACTTTCAACAAAGTTTAATAATTGCTACCCATTGTGTTGGCTACGCGGTGAACATTAGGAACGACACGTGGGGTTTATACTTTGAATTATTACTGAAAATAAAATCAAAACTAAGTGCAGGAATACAAAAATTGCCGAAAGTCTTTCTCATAGAAGTTTAGTGTGTGTGTTTTGTTTTACATTACCCATCATGCTTGAGTGGTGCTGAAAGTTGAATATAGTCTACACGTTTCCCCGGGATTCGCATAACTTATATTACAATCTGTGAAATGTATTATTTGAAAGAGCATCGACATTAATGTGAAGATTTAAATAAATAATATTTGGGTTTAAAGTAAACACGTGCAGGTGTTCTGTCTGCGTGTGTGTGTGTTTACTTGTAGAAGCACGACGGAATACACACACATCGCAGAACTATTTTTTCGTGAACGGAGATAATGAATGCTCGGACTATTTCTTCACTGGCCTCCTTTTTAGCAAACCTATTGAATGGGGGTCTTTATTGTGATTGTCTTTTTCCAATTGAGCGCCCAGCTGAGCTGTTGTATCTTTTTACAACCTCTAACAACCCAGACCAGTAACACAATTACCTCGAGATATTTATAACAAGAAATTACTTTTCTATTTCCCAAGACGGGACAAACAAAAAGCATTTGGGTCCGGGCATCGGGTCAAGGCAGAAACCAGCGAAACAGTGCTGGTGTTGAGAAGGTGTGTGTGTCTGTTGAGTGTGTGTGTGTGTGGGGGGGGGCGCATGGTGCTGGGGGAGGATCCCTTCAGCTCTTTGTATTCTAGAGAGTTGTTGGTACGTTTAGTTGGAAGCTGTGTTGCTAGTTAGGGAGCCCAAGTTTTGCTCTCTGGGTTTTGGTATAGAAGCAGAAAGGAAGCCATTGTTAAATTCAGCGGTCTTTGTTGGAGAGCCTTCACCCCCTCCCGATCTAACTTTCTTGAGCAGCGAGGCGAGGTAGACAGCGTGTGTCACTGTACGGTTCAGACGAGAGGATCTAAAGAGGACGGAACAAGTAAACACAATTATTTGAGATTTAGAACTAGACCAATTAAAAGGACAGAAAATCGCGATTAGTATTTTACTTAATTTTTAAACGAAAATCTGCCGGAAATTGTTCGTTAGGCCGCAATTATAACAAGTTTGAGCTGCTGGCTGAAGTTTAAATTACAGCCACGGTCCAGGAATTAGACACAGACGACTAATGCCAATGGTAAACACTAGCGCGACAGTCCGACTGAGAGGCCCTAACGAAAATATTTACTGATTTTCTAAATAAGATTTTCTAAGTATATGGAACATTTACAAGTAATTAACCATCTTAAAATATAATAATTATAAAATTTATAATAATTAAATAATTAATTATTAAGAAATTACAGTTTAGGAAAAAATGCTCATTTAGCTGCGATGTTGCATAGCAATATTTTAATAATAATATTAGTGTTGCATTTCTAAAGGTAGGAGCTAGAAAAAGTGTACTAATTTACTGTTTTGCTTTGTCCTAGGAAGACAATAACTAGTGAGCGGCAGATGAGAGACTTTAAATTGTTTTAAGCGGAAAGTCAACTGTGTTTCCAGGCAAGTTTTAATACTGAAATACATTAAAGTATTGTTATGCAAATTCACGTGTGGGATATAAAAAAATCCAATCAGTTTAACTATTGATGTATAACAAGCTATCCGTCGAATTTGTATTGAGATTTCGTACGAAAAGGGTACAGATGTTGGTACTTTGAAAATTCCTTAACGTTGAAAAATGCCAATACTGATAATTGTTATTGTTTCTTTATGACTAATAGAATACTATAACCGAGCCACGTGGGACTCTGGCGTAGCCTCCATGATGCAGAACAGTAAGTGAAGATTTTTCTTTCATAGGCCTGCTTATTAAACATCTATGAAGGAATAGATATTTCGCTGTAAATTGCAAATCGATTGTAAATTGCAAAGCGATGCTCGTAAATGAGCGTTTAGTTTTGAAAAAATAGGGTAACTTTGAAGACAGACAAACGACTAGTGCTTCAAAACTTTATGCATGTATGTATGTATGTACGTGTCTATCTATCTATCTATCTATCTATCTATCTATCTATCTATCTATCTATCTATCTATTTATCTATCTAGCTAGCTAGCTAGCTAGCTATCTATGAATGTAGATGGTGTTTTGTTTGTATATAGTCTTGTGTTTGTGATTGATTTTAATCAACCACTTTGTGGTACTTTGCACAGCGTACAGTCGATGTCTGCAGCTCATAGTCAGAAAACATTGTTCCTTCTGCGAGGATGTTTTAGCATTCAAGTCATTCAAGTGCTAACAATTAATTTGTCGATAGCAGGTGTTGGTTGTATTAGCAATACTTATGAATCGCTCACCGTTCTAATGTGATACTCTGTGAGAGACTGGAAAATGGATCGGTCGAATTTTATTTCTGCTTGAGCTGATATTGAATAATTGTAAAACTGACTGAATTACTGTTAGCACGCTGGATTAGCTGTGCGTGTGTGAGCTGCAGGAAACACCTAGAAAATAAATGTTTTACGGAGATTATCGGGTCAGTAAGGCGACACAATATATTATTCGCGAAAATCGGTTAGGTCTGGTTTATTTTACTGGACTATATAACTGTGCCCAGTTTGCATATAAATTGCTGAAATATCAAGACGGAAACGATCTATTCCCAAGCAAATAAATTCGAAACAACTTGCATGCTGGGACTTTTTATTTTTTAAATTGATAATGTAATTTCCAATTTAGCAGAGAAAAAGACAAACATTTTCTTTCTTTTTTGTGGCCAAGGGACATCTGTAAGGAAGGTGTGCTGAAAGATTTCTCATCAACCTTAATAAATTAATTCGTGTATTGAAACACATCTCGTTACGATCTGAAATTACGCTGTCCACACAAGACACATGTACCTATTAAATTTGGCCTATACATAAATGATACAAATCGCCAATACAATGTGGTAAAACATGTACCCAAGATCACTATCTTAATACATATAGGCCTACTTCCTAAGTAATCAAGATTCGATAGCGTATGATATTCAGATAATTGAATCTTAAACACCAGTATTTAATATCTTATGCAATAAAATTTGATATGTACTAAAGGAAAGGATCTCGGGTCAGACTTCTTAAATAAATTCTAAATTAAATGAGCATCGATCGTATTTGTAATAAATTGCACACTCCGACACGAACCAGCTGTTCCATGCTAAATTAAAAATTTAGATCTTTTTTTGTTAATGGAGTCGATTCAAAAGTTCTGTAAAACCCTGATCTGCGTACGGCTGATATTAATGAGATGAAACCATGTTATAGTGTGTGATCCCTGGTGCAAATTTCTGAAGAGATATCATTCGACTGGGGCCTTTAGTTTGTTTAAAGGTCGCGATGGGCTCTTCGGGCTTTGTTCTAATAACTCCTGGGTGTACGTGGTACGGAGCATCCAAATTGACACCATATGCTTTCCTATTTAGTTGACAAGCAATAGAATACAAGGCGAACAACCATTGCCACGAGGCAAGATCGACACCACTCACCATGGGGAATTACATGATTAAGACTCAACCTTTCAAGAGAAAGTTCGATTTTATGTCCTTATCTGACTCTTATATCGATCAAATGGATTTATTTCAAAGCCGCGAGGAAGACGGTTCAAAGCCCATACCAAGGCAAACCAATTTCTAGACGAGACACGATTAATTCCTCTTAATCTGGGAGTCACACACAGGAGATGGAGATGGACAGTTCATCATTTTGAAATCTGGTTGAAAATTATGATGATTACGTGTAACATGTGCAATTAAAATTTCATAGGAGCGCGGTGTTTACACGCGTATTCGCAGTTGTAATGTGTGCAATTTATACAATTATAATGCATCCTTATATATACCTCAAAACACAGATTAACCGCCAATTGAAGATGCACAGTATGGGTGTAAACAATGGCTCCGTAGGTCCGTTTCTAAATATTAATATATAAAAAAAACGAATGTCACTTTCCATATATTAAGGACGAGGCGCGCCCTTGTTGTCGTGCCCGCGCGCAGCCCCTGGCTACCTTAAAATGAAGCTTCCCTTGAAGGGTAAATGAGTAGAGTCCAATTTAGTCTGAATGATATCCAAATGCAGACAGAAAGGGTCGTTTTATCATGCTACTATTTGTCGTGACGATGCGATTTTCAAAAGCAGAGCAGTGTCATAAAGTGACATGCCTGCCACAAGTGCTCCAACTGATCTTTTCAATTAGCCTTCCATGCATGATCCAGGGCGACTTCCGCCTATTTCCAGAAATTAAGCTCAAACTTGACGTGCAGCTAGCTTTATTTTAAAGACAAATGTCAGGCAGGCTCATCATATTTCCCCCTCTTCTATATTTGGAGCTTATTTATTGCTAAGGAGCTAGTGGTCTTGGAGTCAATTTAACGGGAGGCTTCCAAGAGAAGGGAACGGAGAAATAGTGAGGAAGGCTTCCTCTGTTTGGCTTCAGGTTTGGCGTCTTATTGTAAGTCTTCTTGGACATTCTAGTCCGGATATTGGCGATAAGATGACATTTAACTAATTGTTCATAAATGCTTTTAAAACATTTTGGCAGAATCGGGATTTTAACAAATATGTGTATACATAGATATGTAAAAGTAATTATATAATACAGAATGCATCTTATGTGATATTCTATATGATTATTCTAGCCTTCCTCAATATGCGTTTTGTTCGTTATCATGAACTAATCGTAAAGACATTTTAGTGTAGATTATTTGCGGCTGCTGAGGACTATTTCATGTCCTGCACGTGCAGGACTATAATAAACAAGCCACTGGTTGTGTATAATCATTACAATTTTATAAGCAAATAATTTACTGTTAGTTATAAGTGAGAGAATATGATAATCAGTTATTTATATTATGGCTTAATTTAAGCTTGAAATGAATACATTTTTGGGAACGTTTATAGAAAACTATAAAACTATAAAATATGGATTTTTATTTTTGATGAACAATTTTCTGGTAATGCGTGGAGCGAACAACGAGCTTGCTGTCTCTTCCCAGGTCACAGTGGTGTGAATCAGCTTGGTGGTGTGTTTGTCAACGGCAGACCGCTGCCGGACTCAACGAGACAGAAAATAGTCGAGCTTGCTCACAGCGGCGCCCGCCCGTGCGATATCTCCAGGATTCTCCAGGTGATGAAACTTACATTCTTCAGTCGGACAGAGGATAAACGTGTCCATAAAAGTTATCAATCAATGTATTTTGGAAACGAAAGCAACTCATTTCTTACCTAAGATGTCTAATATCAGACGTTGGATGGTTCATTGATGGAAAATTTTGTCTGTTTAAAACCGCGGCTCCTGCATTTTTGGTTGCCGGGATATCATCGAACAATTTCTTCAAACGTTTCATCGTGGGCTTTCGTTATGTGCGGGAAATGGCTCGCATCATCCTCTAAAAGATGTTTTTTTTTTTGTAAAAGCTTAATATAGCTGTTACATGCACTCATTCATCAGCGACTAAACTTAGATTGTTCCGAATTTAAATCTAATTTATATTTTTGGACATCTATCGACATTTTAAAGAATAGATGTTTTTTTTTATACAATAAGCACAATAAGTTATCGTACCATTAAGGTATATTTCTTGTGTTATAGACCCATGCTGATGCAAAAGTCCAAGTGCTGGACAATGAAAACGTAAGCTTATTATTGATTGAAGTCTACTAATATACTTAATATTAGTCTTAAATAATGTATGTGATTTGTGTCTATTGTTCTCTATTCAGGTATCAAATGGGTGCGTGAGTAAAATCTTGGGCAGATACTATGAAACCGGCTCCATTAGACCCAGGGCGATCGGAGGCAGCAAACCAAGAGTAGCGACTCCTGAAGTGGTCGGGAAAATCGCTCAGTACAAGAGGGAGTGCCCTTCTATCTTCGCCTGGGAAATCCGAGACAGACTGCTGTCAGAGGGAGTCTGTACCAACGACAACATACCAAGTGTAAGTGCATGAGTTGTTAAATGTCACCCCTTTTCACCGATTCTTGCTTACATTAGATAATAGAAAAAACGCAATAGTACTCGTGTGAAATTGAAGTGTGACTAATATTTACCATATGTATTTTATCACGCGCAGTTAATTGCATGTTTAATGTCTTCATAGAAGCAAAAGAACCTATAGTGATTTTATATACTTTCGTATGGCGCGGGCTCATATGCATGCCCTTTGGCGAGCAAAACCCAAAAGTGTATCTCGATTTTGGTTTTGTCTTCTAGGTGTCATCGATAAACAGAGTCCTCCGCAACCTGGCTAGCGAAAAGCAACAGATGGGTGCAGATGGCATGTATGACAAGCTGAGAATGCTGAACGGTCAAACAGGGACATGGGGGACCCGGCCGGGCTGGTACCCCGGAACTTCGGTGCCAGGGCAGCCAAACCAAGGTAAAGCAGATTATCGTATCGATTATTATTCATAGGTGTGAAAAACTCAGTCGTCCTTCAGTTTGTGTTAAATCGGAATGATGATATATCAAATACAGGTTAATAAGAACAAAATCAATGTAAATGAAAAACATAACGAGCTTGAGATTATCTTAAACAACAACAACAGTAATATATAGCGATTTATTTAATAGGTAGCGGTTTATTACGGTAACTTGATTTATGTGTACAACTGACAGCAGTACAAGTGACTTTGATAAAAACTACGAAATAGGCATATTTTAAGACAATTTAAATATTAAATAAAGGACAGAAATATTTGTGAAGAATGTTATATCTATAACATACATATTTAGTGTAACCACTAAAAGAACATTTAGCCATATTTTCTGGGTATACACAGATACACACACACACGTTACTTATCAATTAATTACTCGGAATTTCAAACTAACTGCAGCGCAGTTTATCAGTTGCGATAATGAAATAATGCAAAATAAACGAGTTGCTGGATGTATTGTTAAGATTTTCAAATGACAGCCAGATCCACCAGAAAGAATACGTATCACAGTTAACTTATGGTAGTCTTACATTCCGTTTCAGTAAATAACCTCAATACATCCCCTGTGCTGAAACTGGGCGCAATGATATCTTAAGCAATATCCAGCAACGTGAATTTTGCCTCTCACTCCTAGCCCCACTCGTGCAAGAAAACTGAAACGGTGTACGGAGTATTTGTACAAAGGGTGTTTCTGTCACACGTAAGAATTTGTTATGGGAACAATTCTGTCGCTATGTAATTGCTCATTAGAGAACGCTTTGTTTCTCATTAAGGCGACATGAATAAGCGTCTAGTTGGAGGAGACAGCTGTAGAAATGTTCCACCGGAAACCCCTGGACACGATATGGCACCGCTTGCCAATTAGACATGTCAATTTTAAGAGAATTAAACAATATAGGATGGACTCTATACAGACACATAAAACCGTTTTTCTTTCTATTTGTGTCAGTCGACTAATTGCTGGACCGAACAATGGACAGCATTAGAGCACCTGTTTAACATGGGTTTATATTTTCTGTACCGCCCAGTTCAGTCTTAAATTTACGCGAATTTTCTTTCATGTACAGTCCATTGAATCGCATATATGTCTTTTTTATAAGTAAAAGACATTTCTCGCTTAATAATCATCAATAACTGGTGCTACAATTTGCCGACCCAACAGACATGAAGTTTGGATTATAGCCAAAGGAAACGACATACTAGAACTATGACTAATATTGCCATTTATGGAAATATATATTGTCAATAATTTAATATCTAGTAAATTCATAGCTTCTGCGTTATAGTTTATCCAGTCATCTTGTTTTAGATATGCCATTGCTTTTCACCATTATAATATGCAACGAAAACTAAAAAACGAAGCCAACGATTAATTTGAGTAACTGTTCGTTATTGGTTGAGAAAAAGTTTAACCCAATTAAAATATATCGCTTATCTACTTGAGCTATTGCTATATTTGTTATATTTATGGATGGATTAATAACCTCCATAAAGTATAATATTTATGCCAACAGTTAGAACAACAATTTTCAAAATCGGTTGATATGATAATCAGTGACCGTTGATAATTTTATTTACTTTAATATCCGTAATTGTTTTTCGTTTTTTGGTTTATTTTTAAAATTGGATCAATTAATTTTATGAGCTAAAATATTAGCAGATATAATATTAATAAAAGTATATTAACAAAGGCTTTGCGGATTTAATGCTTTGAAAGTATTAATACTTTTCTTGTATTAAATGAGCCTTAAGAAGTCTTAAGAATCCATTAGTACAAAAGCATAAGGCTGGGTTCGGTCTCAGAGGGGGGACAAATATGGTCTCAATCTGATAAATGCCACGCAACAGTGAATAAAATAATGGATACATCGAGAGTGACAGGGCCAGAAAAGAGACAACTCTATCCGACGAGGTTAAAAAAAAAAACTCTCCAGCGATTTAGTGTTTTTTAGGGATCACTGTGGCAGTTTCTCTTATCTTTTTCTTATATGAGACTAAAGCCTTCTATGGGATTTAGACACTTTCTCTTTCAGTCGGCTCCAGAATGTTTTGATCCAACCTCTATGGCTGAAAGGATGCCGCACTCGGTTTGCTATCTTTTTTGCTTGTTTTCCGCCTCACTGAATAAGACACTACGATACATTGGGAATGATTTTTTTCCCAGAGTTTTTTTCTTTTCTTTTTTTTTTTTTTAAGAAAACAGATCCTAAACCTAGCGTCAGTTGGTCTCCCTGTAGGATAATAGCACTCACATTCACTCCTTTTTACGGATTAGTCCCAAAAAAGTAATAGTGCAGCACAGAGAACTGAAAAGATTTTTTTTTTTTTTT